CATTTGCTGTTTGGAGTATACTCCGGGTTTTCGGAAGACTAATAAAATCGAATCGAACACGGTCACGTGACTGCATGTTCGGGCTGCCCTTACTCAAAAGTAAGGCCAGCCAGCACAGTCAATATGTGTCCGTTTACGTATAGGAAGACTTTAAGGATTTACTGCCTCAGGGCCTACATGGTTGCATTTTTCACAGCTGTTCCTGGTAAGGCCTAAAAATGTATATAATTTGCACTCGGAATTTCCATGTATAAAAATCCTTCATCTTATGGAAATCACCACGATAGCATAACGCTCAGTTATTAAAAAGAAGCCAATTGTTAGTATAGGTAATCATGCGATGGCGAGTACAATTTGGGATTAATAGTACGAGTGATGTTTGGAAATTTTGCCAAAATTGGACGAGCCGCCGGGGGGAGTAGAATTTGGCAAATTTCCAAACATCACGAGTACTATTAATCCCTAATTGTACGAGAAACATCGCAGGATTACTTGTTTATTATTAGCATGACAAAATTGGATACGTACTTCTCAATGTCAACATCATATTCTCTCGCCAAAGCCCAGTTCTGCCACACTTTCAACCAAAATTTGGTGCTTTTGTTTGTATTTCCATTTAGTTCTTTTGTTCAAGCAAAATTTGGTGCTTTTGTTAGTATTTTCATCTAGTTCCTTCACGACAATTTCATTTCAAGCTTGTGTTTAAAATACCTTTCCGCCATTTTGTTTGTTTTGGGGAAATCATTAATTGTACTGCAGTACAATTATTGAAATAATTGTACTCCTCTCAACCAATCAGCATCCAGTAATTTTGTCATGCTAATAATAAGAGGTATTATAGTTGGTTTGATATATATCTACATAAGATAACGTAAAATATTGCAATTTATGATTTTCTGTTTCCAAATGACGTGATTATGCCTCTACCTAGGTGTACACAACAACATTTTCATCTGAATTCTTTTTCACCAAAAAAGCAAACTTCCAAGTTAAAAACATTTAAAAAAAAGTCGAGTTGAGTTGATTCTTTCAAGATTTTTCGGGTTTTCAGAACTATAGAAACAACATCATAAATTCAATCCATTTAAATATCAAACTAACTATATTATCTCATTAACGATGAATGCCGCATGACACCGAAATGGCGCCAAAACATGTATACAAAAAGGATTTAAGTAATTTGAAACGTTAAAAAACATTACAAAATGTGGTGAAAATACAAGAATAAGTGCTGAAAAATTCAGTAAAACTTATCTATAGTATACTTCAAATGCAAAGTACATGTTATATGTTTTGTCTACACAAATTAATCTAGTTATCCAATTGCTGCAATTAGCTATAGTTTTCTGTTGGTTACGAGTTCATGTCGCTCTATTCTGAACGGCCATAGGCATATTAGGTATTGCTTCGGTGTTTTCTGCAATCTATATCAGTATATCTGGATTCTTTCTTTCTTTCTTTCTCCGCGACTAAATTTCTAAGTCAAAACAAATGGTAAAGAAAAAAAAAAAAACCATATCACAGAATAATATTAGCTAGTAAGCAAGCATTTAGCCAGGCGGCGGTCCAACCTTCCAATGGATGACTATTTTTGAAACTTTGACCGAAGGAAATTTCAATAAATTCATTTTTACTCCAAAATTTGATCTTTGCCTGCTGTCGCTTAAGCCACATTGTTACCATAGCAACACACAATTTGCTTCGTTCGAACTATTATAAATGCTTGAAGTATAAATATTACACAGGCGTTTGTACTTCCAAAAAAATCCCCACTTCACATAAATAGGTAATATTTTGCGTCTTTGTGTAGACCTTATTTTTCGCTACTGTTTCTTCACAACTGTAGGGAGCCACCTTAAGTGCGAAACATATTCTCGCGACTACTTTATGCTTATCCATGAGAGCCAGAGGAATGATGCAGGTTTTTCGATTTCACTGCCACAGAGCTATCCTCAAGGGAACCCTAGCTCCTCACTTTTTCTTGTACTCTGGCGATTTTTGGATGCATGGTATGTCCGCCGTAACCTGAAAACCTTATCCTAAACAAAAAAGACGATTTTCCATACCCTACATCCCAAACCCGTGCTTGTTATTTGATACAATTATCTACGATATAATGACAAATAGGTATCCTATTTCAGACCGAAATACACACATTCTATACCCCGTCCCAGACCTAGAGTTCAAACCATACCATCACGTTCAAAACATACACCCCCTTTGGTTTGCAAACCATCATCATTTAGGGTCGCACGTTCGATTCCAGCCAGAGAGCCCATAGTTGCAGTTTTCGCAACTGCCCTTGGTTAGGTCTAATAAATGTATATTGATATTTTTCGACGTTGCTGTAAATACTATATCATGAATACATAGAATCTTTTAAATTTCCATAGTTACCATGCTCTACAGCTCCACAAACACAGACGACGAAAGACCAACTGAAGTCAGTTTTCCACACGGCTGTAGACACTTAGAGAGGAAAGTTCGATCCAGAGAACACCAAAACAGCTTTTGCTGAACAGAATAAAGTGGCCAGGAGTCCATCTAGGGTTGCTGTAGTCGTGGTATGCAATTTGCCCGACACAGTGGTATCTGATGAAAAAAGTAAAATTCTTTGAATGTTTGCATGGGTCATAAGACCGAAAACCCAATGTATATGTAATAATTAGTGGGAACACCACGTAAATTAAGTCAAATCTTTCTAAAGATTTAAAAATCTTTAAGCAGATTACGTGCTCTGTGACGTGGCCGACAGATCGCTCTGATAAGGTACTGAGTCAACAGGACGAACATTTAGCGGCGAATAATTCACTCGGTGTTCCCACAAATGATTACAAAATAATATAGAAATAAGTTTCCCCATTATAATGCGTTGAGACCTATGCTATAAGCTTAACTTTCTCCCTTGATTATCTACTGCTCATCTTTTCTATATGGTCACAGAACTCGCCAATTGCGCAAATACAGTATAATCCTGTGCACTTTCGCCATAAAACATATTGCTTTGAAGGAAAAGAAAGCTAGAATTGGAGAAACACAATTGTTGTTAAGTTGAACGGTTGTATCCAGGCTGTCCACAATTGCGGCAACCTAGCTTTGCGGGTTTTCCCTAAAGAAATCGTTATCCTAGAATCAATAAATGTACGTGCTTTTCGTCGACCTAGATCTAGACTTGCGTAATTGGTTTTCCACCAATGAACGGAATTTTCCATGCGGAGCGCTACTTTTCTCTCCGCCTAGTGGAAAACAGTCGCTGTCACTCTCGGTTTTCGTGCTTACAGTACTCTGTCAGACTGACATTGTTCGATATTGAAGGTGAACGAGGCTGACGTTCACGTTGTGGGTAAACAAGGCTGACGAAAGTCTAAACTGCTCAGACAAATTAAAGAAAGAGCTCTGGAGAACCTATCGTGCGCGTGCACTGCGTTTAACAAGCAAGTGCGTCAAAAGCAAGTTTATACATGCCCATAGCATTATAAACTTAAGTTAATGAAACAAGCGTTAGGACAAGAGTAAAGTTGTGCAAAGTCTCCTGGAGTACAAAGGTCTGGTACAAAGGTCAATCTGTGAATCGTGTGATCATACATGTGCAAAGCGCAAGGCTGAATTAACAACAAACCATTGTCAAATCTCTTCCCATGTGTGCGGGAAAATAGACCAATCAGGTTTCACCTCTTCGTCTGCATAGTTTCCTGCTTGGATCAGTAAGCCTCATTGTGTCACTTGCAAGCAAAATTGTATGATCTCTGCGGCAAAGTATTTCGAAATTATACTTTTGTAAAATATATTTCGTGGATATAAAACAACGCGGTCAGTAACACAGTATTATTCAGTGAGACGCAGTTTATTGAAATATAGCTCTGCCGCGAGCTAGCGCTTTTACTCTTCTGGTAGACAAAGGAATACGTTGGCTCAAGTATTGATGTATAATTCAGTGAGACGCAGTTTATCAGTCAAGTATAACTCTGCCGCGGGCAACCGCTTTTACTCTTCTGGTGGACAAAGGAATACGTTGGCTCATGTATTGATGTATGATTCAGTGAGACGCAGTTTATTGAAATATAGCTTGGCCGCGGGCAAGCGCTTTTACTCTACTCGTGGACAAAGGAATACGTTGGCTCAAGTATCGACGTGTGATTCAGTGAGACGCAGTCTATTCAAGTATAACTCTACCGTGGTCAAGCGCTTTTACCCTTCTGGTGGACAAAGGAATATGCTGGCTCAACCGATGAAGTTAAATGAAACCGCTGCTGGGGGAATTATAACAAGATCGATAAACGATAGGCTAAACACGAATTCAACAAGCGTCATTTGATATCATTCGTATATCAACAGGCTTTCTTGCCATCCTACTTTTCCTACTTTTTCCTACTTTTTCCTACTTTTCTTCAACTTTCCTACTTTTCCTATTTTTTATTAAAAATTGCTTGATTTTCCTACTTTTTCCTACTTTTTCTCATAAAATCCTACTTTTTAAGACAGCTTGGGGAATCAGTATGTTATAGCTCTCGTAATTAGATCTATACGACTCGTATTTTTTATTCCCTATTTGTGTCCCAGATGATAAGATCTCAGGAGGAGAAGAAGTACATTTTCCGACTATAAAATTTCATAGCATCTCCAGAATCATAATCAATAAATTAATGAAGACTCTGAAAGTGCCATTTCCGACGATCTAGAGATTCCAAATATTCAACTTCCCCCTCAGTTAATCAAGCATCATATATACAGGACCGTATCAACCGGGGGGCAGCAGCCCCCCCCCCCCCCCCCTAACAATAATTTGTTTTCAAAATCATGCAGACCTTTATCATTTAATCCCATATTACCCATACTTTCCTGCAACTTATCCAATATATAGTTAATTAAATACGCCTTCGCCCATTTAGTACTACTAAATTGTAAATTTCGACATACTAAAACGCTGTTTTCTGACCATTAGAAGTCTGTCAAATCTTCTCCAAAGTCCAGGAAATGGCATTTCAGAGACTCTAAATTTAAAAATGTCTTCGGGCCTTGCTTTCAGCCCCCCAATCGAAAAGAACTTCATACGACCCTGATATATGCTCCTGCCGCAGTGTGGATTGGTGCATTGTGTAGCCCAATACATGCATTTGAATTGTGTTGCCGCAGAGCAGATGCCTTAGCTTTTATACTGATGCAATTTAAAAGTTTTGAGAAAAAAATCTGGCAGGCATAGATGAATGAGTACATAAAAATACTGAGCACCAAAAATTCACACAACTTCCCCATCAGATATCTAATGGTCAACCCCTTACCACATATATCCTAGAGGGCCAATTTTGTATATTTTTGTGTTATTTGTATCTCCAAAACTCCTACTTTTGTCCTACTTTTCTACACATTTTCCTACTTTATTCCTACTTTTCCTAAATTTCTAGTCCTACTTTTGTCCTACTTTTCTACACAAGGATGCCAGAAAGCCTGATATCAATGTATTTATGTATGCACATGCATTTGGTGCTTTGTTTGTCGTGTTACCAACCCTCCAATCAAGCACTTGTAAGATAGAAGCTTTGTGGGGAAGCTGCTGGTTGTCTTGGCCCCATCCAGGTTTCCTGTAAAGATATTGCAGGTTTTTTCTGGCCTCCCTGATGTTCCAGCTGTAGGATGAGTGATATAGTAATGCTCAAATATATGCCTTACGATCAACTTTGTAGACGTGCACACCCTGGTAATTTAGAAACACGCCCAAGATCTTAAATCCTAGCTAAGACCCTGTTTTCCCACAATAATTTTATTGAAGGTAACCATGTGTATTGCCTGATGATGGGCAGATATATTTCTGAAAATACATGTCTACTACAATTGAAATTAGTAGAGACTAAAGAATAATAGTATATACATTATCACTTCATGCACGCATCACTGAAAAAAGAACAATTACACAAACTGGGATTTATATAGACTTGGATCAAGTCCATCTCTCTAGAGTTTAGGATGTTATATATCTAGAACTCATTAATAATTCATGAGCAAATTAGCGAATGAACTCACCCTAATTCGTCACATGATTGAGGTTGGATACCGCAAGGAAACACGCTAAAAATCATATACCATCACTGTTGTT